AGAACATCCGAGTTTAATTTAAAATATCTTTAAAGACATTTAATGACATCATTTTTATATCAGTAGATTCATGTTCAGTACAATGTTGTTATGTAAATGACTATGTATCCATTTATGTATTTTGCAAATTGCATTGTGTATATTAAGTGTTTTATTACGTATGTGTATGTGCTCATTTCGTAACGATGTGTAAGCGAGCGCGTGTGATAAGCAAGTAGATGTGTGCATGTGTGTTTGACGTGCATGTGTGTGTACAAGTGTGCGTGTAATGTGTGTGCGCTTGTGTGCATCTGTGTGTGTGCGTGCGTGAATATTGTTCGTACATGCATTTATGCAAAGCACCTAGAGCTGTGTACACACGGGAGTGGGCGCTATAGAAATTATCTACATTATTATTATTATTATTATTTACAAAAATGGTCTGCCTAACTTTAGTTTTAGTAAGAGTTTGACGGCACTTTTAACATAAGTGCCGAAGATCAGAGGTAGTATTACAAGAGAGTAACAAACACAAAAACAAAAAAAAGGAGGAGAGATAAGGACAACAGATGTTTGACAGGAAAGAAGAAGCAAACCACACCAGAGCACCCGCCAACCACCCGCCCAGCAAATTTAGTCCTGGCCCAGCACAGAGAAAAAGGTTGACCGTGATAGTACCTTGCGTAGAGGTGAGCGGTCCAGGGCTCCACCAGGTTGGGGAAGCGGAAGGTGAGGTCGCCCAGCGCGATGATCAGGTTGGAGCGGATGACGGGGGACGGGGAGCGCTCCAATAGGGTGAACACCAGCTGCAGATGGCTCTCGCAGAACTCGCAGCTGGTCAAAGATAGATATAGCGTGTGAGTACATAAGTGTGTGTAGATATGTGTCACAGAACTCGCAGCTGGTCAAAGATAGATATAGCGTGTGAGTACATAAGTGTGTGTAGATATGTGTCACAGAACTCACAGCTGGTCAAAGATAGATATAGCGTGTGAGTACATAAGTGTGTGTAGATATGTGTCACAGAACTCGCAGCTGGTCAAAGATAGATATAGCGAGTGAGTACATAAGTGTGTGTGTGTAGATATGTGTCACAGAACTCGCAGCTGGTCAAAGATAGA